ATCATGGCTCGACTAACAATTTCGTTTGCAGCGACCATTGGATAGTCTTTCTTCTCTATCCAAAGTACAATGAAGTCATCGTCTTGGATTCCCTCGACAAAGATAGCAACACCTATCAGGAATTTCTAAGAATTCTCGATCTGTAAGTAAGATATTAGCATGACGTGTTTTAACCTCTAACGAATGTAAATTAATTATATCTGCAAACAGTGCATTTAAAAGGTATTACCAGCGAGGCGGACAACGCAAAAACTCAAGAGAACGCATATTCGTCCGCAATAAGTGGCCGGTAACTACATATGGATGCCAAACAGTACTAAATGCTTGTGTGTTTCCATTTAATAACCTAATATACCTTATAATTATTTTGATGTTGAAAGTGTCACAAGCAACCGGTGGGAACAGTATTATGCGGATATTACTATTGTGAGTTCCTAAGGGTTAATGGGAAATATTGTGCGAATTATGACGAGGTAAGTAATTACTTATTAAATTAGTCGCTAACTTGTATTATAATACACACTTGTTAAATTAGTCGCTAACTTGTATTATTGTGAATAATTAATTTCCTTAATTCTGTCATGATCTGATGCAGCTTCCAAAATTCCCCATCTGAAAGACAGCTCGATGATACTTCCATTCAGAACATTCAGGCGGACATGTGCTACTTCATCCACCGTGAGTGTGTACATCAGCTTGGGCGATTTTTCGACAACGAAGGAGTCTTAGCCCTGCCGGAGAACGAATCCCTGTCTTACTGGACCAGGCGTATAATATAGCTAGGGTTTTGTAATTCATTCAAAATACTTGTAAATGTTATGTCGTCGGTCAAATTTAATTTTTCAATGTGTATATATATATATATATATATATATATATATATATATATATATATATATATATATATATAGGTGCTTCCGAATTATTATATGTATATTATTCTGCTTCATACTCAATGCGTGGCTCTAACATACGCGAAAAAGAACATACTCTATCGATAGCTCGATTAGTTATATCAACCACGTGTGACTCTGAAACACGCGCCCGAACAAAAGAAAAAAAAGTATATATAATAATGTTTTAAATTTTTTTTAAAAAAAATTGCATCTTCACTGGCGGGCCACGTGTCAGAACTAGGACGGTCCATATCTTCGCTGTCGGGCCACGTGTCCATCCACAGAAGCCTTAGTTTATTTTTCTTAGCGTGCCACATGGCCTAAAATACTGTGAAATCTTCGCTGGCGGCCGACCTAAGGCTACTTAAGCGGTCTGCCTGCAAAAATAAAGGCGGACCGCTTAAGTGGTCCACGACAGCGAGTTTCAACCAGGTTTACATTTTTATAGGCGACCATTTGGCTCCAATGGTCATACCTGCCTGGAAAAATAAAAGACCAACGTTGCTAAAAATCATTTTTTAGTAGTGTGTCTACTGCATTGAGTACCGACCCAACATTGATCCACAAACAGTGCTTGTATTTAAAAATACGTAACTTTTTGGTAAAGATGGATGAAGACAAACCGGCTTGACAAGATATTACAACTTTGTAGTTAACTACATTTTTATGTGAGATTGTTTACGTGCCAAAGTATGCAATAGAATAAGCGAGCTCTATTTTCGAAAAAAATAAAAACCATACTCCATTGAAGCTTTAGAAGCATTTTCATTTTAGATCGTTTGCATGTCTCAATTTGTGATAGTAGCGATGGAATCCATTTAAAAAAAATAAAAATTTGAATTTTCTAAACAACCTTGAATGGAGACATACTCCATTCAAACTCGATGAGCATGAATGGAGAGAGCCAGTCCAATCAACATCGGAGTAAACAACCAGGCTGTCGGAAGTCCATCCTCATCCAATCTAGGTGATCAGGGCGGAAGGTGTCGGGTGGAACTTGGCCAGTCTTAAGGCATATTTGCCGAGGGTGACGAGGAGCAGCCCCCCGTCACTTTGGGATGGAGCAGTGAGATCATGGTGAGGATGTCCGGCCGGACACAAGAGGAGATGAAGTTGATGTGGTGACCACGGTGATTGTGGGCACCACGGATGCCACGACGGTGCTGTCAGTGCACGTCGGGCGACCAGAGGGGCTGACATACTGCAGCGTGGGCACTGGTGCCTGTTGCGCCATTGGAAGTAGATGAGATTTTAGAGAGCGGAAGCGAGGGAAATAAAGTGATCGATGCCGTGTAAGTGGATATTATGCAGAAAGCAATAACCTAATCGGTAACAATGTGGAGGACATATATGCGCTATCCTTCCCTAATACAATCAACCGACTTATTTTCAGCGCAAAACATTGATTCCAGCTCTAGGTACAGCTTTAAAAGTGTGAAGAGAATAATGAGCTTATACTCTCTGCATGTCGAAACTTAGAAGTTACGGTCATACAGATTTTTATCAACTACAGATGAAGATTTACAAATAGACTTCAATAATTGTTTACTCCTTATGTGTTAGTTTTGAATTAATGTTGCTGGATTATTCTGCTCTCTTGAGAGAATTATGTAATAAGTGGCTTTAGCTTTTTTTAAGTAAAGGTCATGATTTATTTTCATTTTTTTTAGACAAAATGCACAAGACAGTGCGACGTTTCGTATTGATATAGCAGAAAAAAGTAAAAGACAATAGCCCTCGGAGGCTATAGCTAGGAAAACAAAACGAAAAATAACCACACCACACGTCTATAACCGGAACCCACTATTGAGAAAACAAACGGGAACATGGCACCCCAAGGGGAAAGGATCCTCAAACGACGTCTCCAGGGAAGAAAACGAAGCACCACCACCGTTCGTCGTAGCAACATGACGTGGTTTTCAACTAAGGAAATCCAACAGGGAATGAGTGAGATTCCGTAGAAACACCCTAAGGGCAGTGCGGCGGCCGCAAGCGTCGCCATTGCCAACTGAACACCTTCAACACATAGTCATCACACCAACATCTCGCCACTAGCTGATCATCAAGGAGGAGCACGGCCTCCGACATGCTCAACCCCTATCCACACAGTTGGGTTGGAGAGGGAGAGGGTGAGAGAGAAGGCTGGATCCCCACTCCCCCGCACTAGCCCACTAACGTGGCCATCTTTCGGCAGCAAGCTATCGCCGCAAGAGGACAACCGTATGGGAGAGGTTCCTGTCGCAGACCCTCAATCCGACCTCACGGTGCCACCTTCCTCGCCACCTTGGCCAGGCTGCCTATATTGCACCACCTTAGGCTGCATGTCCGCCACGCCGACGCCTTGCCAATTGTCATCACGCTGCATCCCGCACTCGGTTCGCGGTTGCATCCAGCGTGGTGCTCCACCACTGTGTACTCCACGGCTACACTCCGCCGCCTCCACTACCAGCCATGGTCTCACTCCCTGCAGGCCGCGTGACATGTTGGCCTCCACCTCATACGCACCTTACCGACCTCCCGCATGCAGTCACACCTTCAAGGTCGAACTGCACCGCCTCGCCCTTGCCGTTGCCACCGCCATGGTCAAGGGGACGGTGGATCAATCCCACACCCATCCAGCCATCACCATCGCCAACCATCGCCCCAACCGACCTCCGCCTTAGCTCCACGCTGTCGTTGTCACTGCCTCCGGTCAAGGGGACGGCGGATCTGGCTCACCCCCAGTCCAACCGTCACCATCGCCAACCACTGCCCTCGCCGGCCTCTGTCTCAGCTCCATGCCTTTGTCGCCGCCGCGCCATTGACCCCGGTCGGCTCCGCCGGAGGAAGCGGTAGATCCGGCCGTGGGAAAGCTAGATCTGGCCATGGCAGCAGTGTATCTAGCCGCCAAGGCCCCATCTGTTGCGGTCCTGCAGCCCTTGTCTCGACATCACCCCCATCCAGCGAGTCAAAGAGCTAAGGGAGAGGGCCTCGCCGCTGTCATCCTTGCAGTCGTGCAACTTTGCTGGCCGCTGCTCGGGCCACGGCGAGGCGGAGGGGAGGAGGAGGTGGTGGCAGCGATGGTGTAGTTTTGCCACCCGTGTTGTCCGTGGGATAGAGCAACGTGGGGCGGGCAATATAAGCTTAGTATGGGATTTATTTCCATTATCTAAAAAAACACTCAACCAAGTTATCAAAACAGAATCAGAAAACATATTATCTAAGACAAAGTTGTTGGCCGTTAGCAAGCTTGAATGAGGCCGCACCGCGCCCGCACGCGAGTGCTAGAAAGACGGCTGCATGTTGAGTTCGTGGGCAAGCGTACGTGAGGGAGGCTGCGCGGCGGCTACACGGGAGTGCAAGGACGACGCGCGGCTGCATGTTGACCTTGTGGGCAGCGTCTGCGGTGACGCCGTGTGAGCTTTTGGTTGGCCATGCCTTGATTGAGCTAAGGATTGAAGAGTGACTAGTGAGAGAGCGCGAGAGGCGGGAGAAGGAAGGATTCGAAGGACAGTTTTGAAATTTCGCATGGTGCATGACTTCCTGAAAAGAAGATTAGAAAATTGGAAGACTAACAAGTTTGGATCCAATGCTACTGACGGAGGCTAACTTTGCTATTAGACTGAATCACAAACTTCCGTTGCTATCTAATTAATGAAAACAGGAAATTCGCTACTGACGGAGGCTAACTTTGCTATTAGACTGAATCACAAACTTCCGTTGCTATCTAATTAATGAAAACAGGAAATTCCGATTGTAGAACAAATTTCTGATAACTCTTGTCCTCTGCTACTTCGTTAAAAAGTGTGTCTAGTGGTGGAGCCAGGCCTAGAGCAGTTAGGGCTTGTGCCCTAGGCTTGACTCCAAAATCCTATTTGAACACTATAATTTTTTTTGAAAATATATTGCGTCTAATTGAAATACACCAATTCAGCCCTACTCTTGCATTTTTTTTGGCTCTGCCCCCATATATATTATTCCCTATATTGGCATAAGCTATCTCTAGAATGTTACTAGCTTGTATGCCTTCAAAATTTCGTGAGAACAATAAGCACCACGTAGAAAACCTACCAAAAGGAAAAAGAAAATGAAAACTTGAGCCTTCAGCTCGGGACTCGTACGCACCTTAGGCAATAGCCGAGCGGCTCGCGGCCGCGATGGGGCAGCTAAGCGCCCCAGTGAAACCTTGTGGCGACAAGAAGTGACGATGGCAGAGTTTTTGGAGAGATGTGTATAGCATACCCGTCTCGTCGATGGTACGAGGGTAACATATACAAATATAGCTTAAAAATACACAAAAAAAATTTCACATGGTCGTGACGAAGACTTTCCACATTTTATTTCAGTAATCTGTAGCTGTCAACTCTCCGGTTTGATTTCCCAGGCAGACGCACAGTCCCTCCAGCTGGCCGGCCATGTATATATGCTATTAGAGCAGGTACAATAAACGGTTTAAGCCGGCGATAGCGCATCCAACCTGGCCAAAGTGATTAGCTGGAAAGAAAAAAACAGGAGAGAGGGTGCTAGCGGACGACTAAATTGTCTCTGACTACACACGAACTCCAAGAAAAGAGAAACTGCAGAAAAAACTTATCCCATGGTTACGTGTGGGTCTACGCGAGGCAATGCACGGGTACAGCAGGATAAGGCTTAAAGAAAATGATAATCAATTCATTGGTGCTTGTGCGTATAGCCAGCAGTTGTACATACACCGTCTTCTAGTTATCTCTATTGCTGATCTGGTGTTTTTTACCGCCGGCAGTCGTCTGTTTTATTAAACCTGCTCTTACTGACATCTTAATTTAAAACCTGCTCTTACTGACATCTTAATTTACGATCATATTTATGGTGTTCTGGGTTGGTACCATCCCACTACGAATATTATTATCATCGAGTTATATTATAGTATCAGTAGAAAAAATATTCTAACCATTAATAGTTTTAGGATATTGTAGTATAAATAAATATGATCTATTGGATTACAAAATATGACCGATTTTGGCTGAGTTTTTTCCCCAAGTTTTCTCAACTCATCTCTCTCTTTTTCTGTACGCACGCTTTTCAAACTATTAAATGATTTTTTTTCAAAATTTTTCTATATAAAAGTTGCTTTAAAAATCATATTAATTTATTTTTTTAAAAAATAATAAATATATAATTAATCATAAGAAAATACGTCATTTCGTTTTGCGTGCCCAATCTCACCTCCCGGTTCCCGAACACAGCCATATGCTACCAACCTAGAGACCATTAATTGTAAAATATATCTTAATTAAACAAATGGCGCTTGTAAGTTAATAAGAACTAACCATATATGTCAACATGTTTTTCTTTAAAATCAGCCTGCTTTTCACCGTCACATCTATGTTGACATTTTTACATTTGGGTTCTGCAAGGGACTCTTGAGGTGCTTTTCTCTTGTTGACTCCGCGATGGATGTGGCCAATTAGTACCTACGCACTGCCCAAGCATCCGGTCTCCTGTTTCTTTTTCTTGACCTTCGGTCTGTTTATTTTCAAATGCTGAGATAGTCCAAGGCAGATCTAGCTACTGTCGATTGGGAGAGGGAGAGATATATAGAAAAGGGAGGGAGTGAGAGATATATATAGAAAAGGGAGGGAGAGAGAGAGAGAGAAGGGATAGAAGACTTGAAGCATGAGAAGAGGCAGATCTGACTGAGGGATAAGTATCATCTTGGTATCTTAGTTTTTTCGTGTTTTGTTTATGTTTGTCTCTAGGCTTAATTAGTTTGCGATTCTGTGCCATCATGTTACTCTATACTTTTTTTAGGTGTTGCAGAAATAAAAATTTATAACCTTCTTGTGGTAATATATGTTATACAACAATTATATACATATATGTAGCATCCCAACCAGTTTGAAGTGTATAGTTGTGTTGTAGTTTTGGGTAGTTTGATGCCATCTTAATTACATCATCCTTACTAGCCACTTAGTCACGCGTTGCGTGACTTTATATGCCCGTATTGACAACTTGTATATTTATGCCATAATGTTTTTTTTTTTGCGGAATCATAGGACCTGTTAATAACAATCCAATGTTTCTCGCTCAAGGCTCAAATACTATGCTCAAGCGTGAATGTTCAATATTTTACGGAGCATACTACATTCTCTCTTCCAATTACAAAACTAAATATTCATTACTCTACACTTCTACAGAGTATTAAACAACAACCTGTCAGTGATTCTTGTCAGTTCATTAAGGGGGGAAATTATGCTTTTTATCATGATGACATCAAGGTGTTTCAGATGCATTCATACTCTTGTATTATGAAATGGAATTTGTGTGAAGTTTCTGTTATAACTACAGTTGTAAACATATTTAATTTGACCTATTGAAATAGTTAAAATGTTTTAATTCTAAAAATCAAAGAGAGAAATTATAATTCTTGAAGAACCTCCATCTAACAATGACAGTACAAATAAAATTGTGTTAATCAGGAAAGCAAAATAGCCAATAACCTCTAGAAAATGATCACAAAACTTCAGCTGGCACACTGTCTTGAGTTATACACATGCAGTGATACAGAACAGGTGCAATGCAAATACAATTAATCAAAGCTAACCACCAGAAATGGAGGCCTTGAGCTTGTTCATATCGATGAATCTGTCATCAGACTTGTAGCAGGTGTGATGACAGTACACGTAGACACAGTCAAATATGAAAAAAAAACATTTAGCTATGAAAAAGGTGATATATTTATGTGCAATGCTCCCTAGATTTTGTAGGCTAGTGGATTGTCATATTAGTCTCTAGATAAAAATTAGAGATGGGCAGATGCAGTCATTTACATTTCGGCTGTCAAATTCACGCTATAATCTTGACATGTGCATAAACAGTCTGCAATATATGATTGACATTACATAGGGTAAATGCAGAGTTAGAAACTGTAGCATTCAGTACCTAGTGTTGTACTAATTACATAGGCTAATTGTAGAGTAGAACTAAAACTTTGTTGTTAATTAATAGGTTAAGGTTAAGGTGTCCTCAGGCCTCATGGACACGAGAACCAATAATATAGTGACCATGAGCTGTTTGCTTGGCTTTCAGCTTCAGAACTCAGAAGGGAAAAAAATTAAAGTGAACAGGATTATTTTGACAAAAGTGTTACTGATTTACAGCCATTTTTGAACCATCGGTGCAGATATGTAGATCTTCAAATTTAATTGTGTCCTTGATTCACATATTTGCCCAACAGACTGACGCAGGGCAAGAAACCAAGTGTATTCTCCTGTCATCGAAGGCACTTGTTAATGTCAAACCAAACATTTAGATCATTGCTGATGATGCCAAAAGAAAAATATATTGTCCAATAAAAAAATCGTTTCAGTAGGCTATCGGCCTTTAACATTAATATTTCCTTGCTGAACAAAACACAGGAACAATCTTTTTTTTAAAAAAAAACATAAACATAATTGTACATGTGCTTTCTAACATATTCTTTGTCAATCCATCCCATTACTGTTCTTTATTATGTTTTCCCGGCTACAGTCTGGGAAGGCAAAGATAGGAGGTGATGAGATTTTCTGAGTTTGAGACTTACCAAACTATTTAGCTGTGATCCGATTTATCTTTGTCCCGCTTTTTCTGAAGCTGTGATTGGGATGGGGATGGGGATGAGAAAGCGAGTAGGAGGGGTGCGGTGGAGGCGAGGAGGCGGTGGACTGTGCGAGGAAGAGACGCCGGAGGAGGAGAGGAGAAAGCAACGGCGTGGATGGACTTCGCCGGCGACGTGGAATGGAAGTAGAGGCGGAGGAGGCGACGGCAATGCGGAGGCGGCGGTGGATTTGCTTCTGAGGAGATGGGTTACTTCTGCGTCTCTTTTATTTTTTTTTCTTTTTCGTACCTTTTCCCCTGCTCATTGATTTTTTTATATTTTATATAAACACGCGACGATTCGGCTTCCCCTGTTCGCGTGGCCCATGGACCGTTGGCCCAACCTGGAGAATTCTACCATTGGCCAGATTTGTTTTTCACCCACCTTTACTTGGCATCTGACGGCAGCAATTTAATTCATGGTGCATCCAACGATCAGTTTTATTCCGATGACGTGGCGCAATCTGGTGTTGAAAAACATTACTTTTTTCACTATATTAGATTAGATGAGAAAAAGAATCTAACTCCTGTTACGAATCGCTAGAAGTTGATTGTACTGTGACGGAGTATAAATTTAGATGGTGAGGGTCTGGTTACGAGTGTTTGTGCTTCAATCATATTCACGTGTTAATTTTTTTTCACGAAACGAATACAAAAGTATAAATGAATGCATGAAACTTTGTTTCATTGTCATTGCCACAGAGAGGACAATTACTTATTTCTTTCATATGGCTTCTGCGGAGTTCAGCAGCACAGGGTAGCAAATTTTTCACCACCCGTCACCAGAACACTCTTATCTTAGGCATTATCCGGAGTCTCCGCTCAGCAGGTAGAATTGACCAATGTGGGTAGAGTCTGTTGAATAACTAGTGGCCTATTCGCTGATGCGGAGTAGAAGACGACGATCTCATGCACACAATCATATAGTAGATGAACACGGATATAGGGATGGGCATCACAGCTTTAATATGAGGATACATCAACCAACCTCTCAAGCACTCTCTCTCAGTATATATACCCATAATAGGAAGAGTCCTATTAGGATACGTTTCCATATATTTGGTATGAGCCCATATTTATCTCTGGCAAGAGATAATAGTTTCATAACACTCTCCCTTGGGCGAATACCGCGCTATACACATGTCTCATTAAAAACTCCATCCAAAAACCCAGTGGGAGAAAAGGATAGGAGAAAAGAATACATCGTACACGCTAGTTATATTGCACTTGTTGCCTCGTTAAAAACCTTGCATGAGAAATATTCAAGTAAAAACTCACTAAGGAAAAAAGAGTACAACACACGATCTTCTTGATCGCATAATTTTTAAGATCGACTATTGTTCATAAATAGCTAATGATCTGTATGCTTTATTATATTAATCAACTTGGATTAACACAACAATATAGCGGTAGTAACATTCAAGGTACGTAAATTATCAAAACAATGATTAATTTGATTAATTCTTGGTAAATCAAATATAAGACTTCCAAGTCTTAAGTATGATAATCAATATTTAGCATATATGCTCCCCCTCAATAAGACATCCATTGAAACTTCCATGTACCAATGTTATAACCATATTTTTATTAATGTGTAAAACAATGATAATAAAATTACCACAATGTTTAATCTTTCGTTTACTTATTTCATAAGTTCTACTATGGAGAAATAAATCAACGTATAGGAGCAATATGTATAACCACTTATTCAAATGTGCAATACAAACAAAATTTTATCCTTACGAAGGACTATGGGAAAATAAGTTGCAACGATACACATATGCGGTACGTATAAAATAATTAGCTCAATACAAGAGGTTAAATATTATGCAACTTTCTCATAGTGGATTTATCAATCATTACCAATTTGATTGTTTCACTAATCTTCAACAATTAGCTTAAACCACTTAGAGTGACATAAACCGGTCTATATTTTGGCATTAGGGGAATTAATAAGATTGTCAAATACCATCAATAAGTATATCTTCATGATATATAAATTCTTACACCTTCATAGTATGTAGAAAACTACCGATCCACTTGCATGCTAGTGGATGTGATTTTCCAATTAATTCGTTTGAACGGGTCTGTCCACTTCATGGGAGTACGAGTTATCGGTGTTATATGGAGATTAGCCGGTAATTCATACATTAGCATAGTCCTACAGGGATCAACTTATTCTTTCGGAAGTCATTTTCTCTGCTATGAGAAATATTCTCACTTCTAGAAGAAAAATTCTTCGTGAGCCATCATAAACTCTTCTACGAGTCTTGCAATTCTCTTCATGAGAATATAGTATGCTTCATGACACTAATTAGTATGAGATTTACATATATATTGCGAAATTGTTTTCTTTCTAGTGAAAACTTCATATGGATTTTCATAACCCATAAACTGCATATCATTTATTCATTCATGCCTTCTGCCAACGATATATATATCGGAATTTAATACATTCATAGTAGGAGAATATCAGTCTTTTCCATGACCAAATGAACCGTCGCTTTTCACCACTTCATTTCCTATTAAGTCTAAACTTCCATGTTCACATAGACTTATTTAGCGACTATAGTTCAACCTCATTGCTTTCTTCAATAGACATGATATGAGTGCTACTATGCAACTCTGCCATGGACTTTGGTTCCGGATCCGGATTCTTATTAGAGAAATATTAGCAATCATAGAGGCGATGTTGTTGACAACTATTCTTTTCTCCACATACTCATTCCATGAGGTTAATTCATTATAAATCATATCTTAGTCATTTCCCAAACATAAGATGTATGGTTGTTCCGCATCTCAGAATTAGATAGATGTACGCACTTTAATTCTGAGTTTTCATCTTCATGATGAACCTCTTCATGAGGCAATTCACCTTCATGGTGATTACTCTACAAGAGTTGTAAGGAGTTATTAATGAGTACATTGACAATAGTCGTTAGATCTTAGAATCCGCAGGCGTCCCTGTAGATTTTAGAACATTGACTAACATGTCACTCTGCATTTGTGGATATACTATTCAAAACCCGGGGTATACCACTGTTAGCTGAAAGTTTACTACAAGTAAACATAACTTCTGATTACTCCTTTAATTCATAATTATCTGGCAAGCTCCCGCTTCTGGCTTACAGGAGAATAAACTAAACCTTCTAGTTTAGTTTGGCTTGTGCGTTATTCTTATTTATAAAGATCTTTTTCTTCTTGAAAATATAAGGCATCTTTAACACATGGGCTTTTCTCCCCCTGATGCCGATATTCGATCTTTATCTAATAGCATATCACAAAAATCCCCTATCATAGGCACTGGATTAACGGAATTCGGTCCATTTGTATCCCCAACTTCATGTGGAGGCCCATATATGTATGCTATGGTGGTGATATATAAGGGAAATGTTCATTCATTGAACACACACTTATACAAAATAAAGGGGGTAAAGATATTATATGCAGTGAGCTAACATAAAAATTAATGCAATGGCATGAAAAATTGCACATTCATAATACTGTAGGTTATCCCAATTCATAGAGGATTATTATTCTGCGACAATGAAGCCCAAACAAATATCCACTAGTCGACAAAATTACTCTATTTTCTAGCGTTTTATTTATTTGCCCAAGACTTGATCCAATTACTCATACTATATTCAATTCTTAAATTAAGTTGGATCAATAAACTTCATGTTTATATTTATGCAACATAGATATGATCATAAGATGGATGTATTAGTATTATATAACTTCATGATGTCTTCAAGAACATAACTATAACACTAAAACATTAATCTATGAACATAGTTTAACCATCATGGAACTTTTCAAATCACCCAAACATTATTCTACGAGAATATTTATTCTTCTTGAATATGCCAATAAATTAATTGGGTGACATGTCTAACTTTTATTCATTACGCCAAAGTAAATCTGGTGTCATTTGATCATTCAGAATCATTCGAATCCAAAAGGTCATTAATTATTTAGGATATTGTTTACTACAAGTAAACCAATAGCTTTCAAATAGCTATATGCAATTTTATACTTCCTTGATGAATATGAAATTTTCAATGGCCAATAAATAACACACTTCGTTGTGTGACAATAATTCATAATTATCCCAAATAAGATTCGCTAATAGTTTGGGCTATTTTTGCTTCTAGCATTTGACCTATAACACACCAATTTGCCTGCCACATATCCACAATTTCTTATGCTTCTTTATTGCAAATATTCTGAAATTAATTTGCAAAATACACATATTCCTCCCCATTTTCATGCCAATCATAAGAAAACTTACAAAATAGTTGTCGTGAAACCCACAGATTTGTTGTAACTTCATGGTACAACTTTTCTAAAAGAAATAATGTGGTTGCAGGTGGATATATTTAAGCTTCAATGCTTAAACATAAATATTCTAATTGTTCATGTGCATAAGTAAACAACTTTACATGTATGCCAATATGGCGTCAATGCACTTAGAACTATCAACCTACATGATTGATTGAGGCTTAGTGGATAATAAGAATACATTCGCCAAAAATACTTCAAATAATAGGCAAGACAAATATTTACATTCAATGTTAGACATACAATTCACAATTTTATTCCACAAAAGGTTAAAGAATTACTGCAGGTAAAAAAAAGCAATATAGGTAAGGTGAGATGACCTATATAAAAAAATATTCAGTAATCTAATGCAGAAGCTTCTATGCCTAAAGCAAAAGATAAAGATGCTCTACATGAGCTTAACCATGTTCTTCGTATTGAAATTAATCTAAACTATAATGTAACTCATGTATTATAAAATACTATCTCAAAAGAACGAATGCAAGATTACTGTCATTACTATTCGTTTCCCCTGAGTTGAACATCAAATTCAAATACACCAAATTCCTTTCCTTCCACAAATTGAGTATACATGTTCTTCATGAACATATTAATAGTATAAGTCATATATTGCGTGCAAATGCACATGTTGATAGTAATACAACTTCTTGTTATCAATTCTAACAACTAAACATGTTGCATCTAGGTCAAAATTGCTTCAAATGCAAATGACCAATTTACTCAAAATAATTTACATACATCCATAAAAACAATACTTCATTTGTAAAGTCATTTATACGTGGAAGATGAATATAACATTATCAATCAAATTAACTGTAGACACTGCATAGGTACATAGTCTTTTGATAGATAATTTTGGTGCAGGGCATATTGGCATATAGACTTCTCGTCTAGATATTCGCAAATTCGATGACATTGTATCTACTTGGACACAATTAATATAAATTAGTTGTAGCTTATCTTCTATGATAGTCATGCACTAATAAATATCTCTAAGTCAA